GTGACCGAGTTTCCGGGACATCTTGCCCAAGAGGAGTCAAACCGAACTCGCGCGGGAACCCGCTCGCGTGACTTCGGTTTGACTCCTCCTGGGCCCCTCTCCCGAGCCCTCTCGGGGCCCTCCGATGGAGGCCCCTCTCGGTTGGGGTGGGGTACAAACGTATTTATGTACATATGTATGTGTATATATATATATATACATTTATTGCTGTATTTGTATACATGCATACATACATCCATCCGTCCGTCCATCCATCCATCCATGCATACATACACATATACAGATACGAATACATATACATATGAATATACGTATACATATGCATATACATGTACATGTACATGCACATGTACAAGGACATGCTCATATACAAGTACATATGTACATGTGCATGTACATACATACATGAATGCATGCATGCATGCATACATGCATGCATACATACACACATACATACATACATACATACATACATGCATGCATGCATGCATGCATGCATGCATACATACATACGTACATGCATACACACATATATATATAGAGAGAGAGAGAGAGAGAACGGTATCCCCGTGCACGGGGCCAGGGCGCCTGGGGCGGCGACCCCGACGGGGCATGGGAGGACTGGAGCCTCTGGGGTCCCCCCGAGACAGCCCCGAAACGCCACCCGAGGGTACCAGGAGGTCTCCCAACGTCAAAGAGGGCTCAGAATCATCGAATTGTCGCTCCAAGACACCGAAGACAGCTCCAAGCCGGCCTCCGGGAGCCCCCACAACGGCCCACGAGTCCCCCAAGAGGACTCCCAAGAGCGCCTCCAGAAGCAACACTGGCCCCATTCCCTTCGGAAAACGTGCACCTTTTCGATATTCACATCTTCGGCTTCGACCGCGTCGAAGACGGCCCCAGGAGCTCACACCATCGCCCCGAAACGGCCAAAGAGAGTTCCAAGAGGCCTTCAGGACAGCTCCAGAGGAGCCCTCGACTTCCAGGAGGCCCCAAAGACGGCCCCAGATGGCCCCCGGACAGCTCCCCGACCCCCGAGAGGCCGCCAGGAAGCCCCAAAGGGCCCAAGAGCCCTGTCCTAAAAAGGCTCCCAAGAGCCCTCTCCCCTGACAGGGCATCGGAGGACTGGGGCCTCCAAGAGCGCCCCAGAGGGGCCGTGAAGCCCCCGGACTGCCCCAGAGAGCTCCAAGACGCTCCCAGAAGCCCTGGTGGGACTTCGAGAAGCCCCTCCAAGACAGCCCAGATAGCCCCAACGTGGCCCCAGATGGGCCCAATACGGCGACAGCCCGAAGAGGCCCAAATCCTTGATGTCCCATTGTTTTTTCATTGTTTTTCACTTTCTCGCGCTCTCGAGCTTCCGACGCTCCAAGACGGCCGAAGACGCCCCGAAGATCGCCCCAAGACCCTTGAAGAGGCCCCCAAAAGAGCCCCAAGACGGCCCCGGAGAGCCTGAAGATTGCCCAAGAGCAGCCCAAGATTGCCCAAGATAATCCCAGGAGAGGCCCAAGATGGGCACCAGAGCGGGAGCGGGAGGCCCCAAGGCGCTCCAGGACGGCTCAGATGACGTGGCCGACAAGGAGCTCAACACGGCAAACACACAGCCCAAGAGGCCTCCAAGAGGCTTCAAAGAGAGCTCCGAGAGACGTCCCGAGAGAGCCCGAAGAGGACCAAATCCTTGATTTTCATGCGCGCTTGTTTGTTCCAATGTTTTTCGCTTTCTCGCGTTCTCGAGCTTCCAACGCTCCAAGACGGCCGAAGTCGCCCGCAAGACTGCCCAAAGACCGCTGGGGCCCCTTAAAAAAGAGCCCCGGGACGGCCCCAGAGAGCCCGAAAATTGCCCAGGAGGAGCCCCAGACGGCCCAAGAGGCCCCATGACAGGCCCAAGATGGGCCACAGAGCTGGAGCGGGAGGCCCCAGGGCGCTCGAAGACGGCCTAGATGGCCCGGGCCTTCCTCTTCCGTCCCTCCTCCCCTAGCTCCTTCCCTCCCGCCCCCTCCCCTTGCCTCCATTCCTTCCTCTCTCTCCTCTTCCTCCCCTCACCCCTCAGCTTTTGTGCTCCTCCCTCCTCTCCTAGGACAGCCCCGCCAGAGCGCCAGACAGGCCCCGCCAGAGCGAGCGGGGCATCGCTATACCCTATCATTTCACAAGTTGCTTTGCCCCTCCCACCCCTCGAGGGCGGCCCCGGCAGAGCGAGAGGGGTGTTGCTATACCATATACAGTCCATGTTCTTTCTTGCTCCTCCCGCCGCACCCGAGGTAGCCCCGTCAGAACGCACGGGGTGTGGCTATACCATAATGCTCCTAAGGTTTTGTGCTCCTCCCTCCCCTCTTGGGCGAGCCCCGCCAGAGCGCCAGGGAAACCGCCGCAAAAGAAAGCAGGGCACCTCTTACACCACATTCTTTCACGCGGTTCTTGCCCCTCCCACCCTTGCAGGGCGGACCCGCCCGAGCGTGCGGGGTTTGGCTATACAGTACAATCTCTCAGGTTTCATGCCCCTCCCTCACTTCCCGAAAGGCTTCGCCAGAGCGCCAAGAAGTTACCGCCAGAGGCCCCGTCAAAGCCCCAGGCAGATCGTTCGGCGATTCGGGGTTCTCTTGGACTGTTGTTGGGGCCTCTTGGGGCACTATTGGCCCGTTGAAGGGTTTTTTGGGGGCCCCGGGACTCCAGGGGGGGCGTCGTATCTGACCCCCCTCCTCTGGGAACCCCCCCGGGACCCCCCGGGGACCCCCCCCCCCTGGCGTGGGAGGGATCGAAGGGAAGGGGCTTCCGTTCGACTCAATTCCGACTCAACTTTTTTTGGCTGGCGCGCTGAGGAGGTCCCTGGGGAAGGGGGGAGCTTCGACGAGCCCAGGGAAAGGGGGGAGGCAGGGAAAGGGGACGACAGAGACGACGACCAACGAATGACGGAGATGACGACTTGAACGGACAAGCCCCTCACACACGCCGACAGGGTCGGCGGATATGATTGTGGGGTGTCCTGGGGGCTCCGGAGTGCATTGGTTTCTCTTCTGACAGTTTTGGACCCGTCGGGGGTGCCAGAACGCGTCAAAGGAAGGGAAGGGGGGCGACGAGAAGGCCCGAGAGACGTCCAGGAGGGCGCCAAGATGGCCCAAGAGTGCCCCAACAGGGCCCACGATCGCACAAGAGCGTTTCAACCTTGGTCCAACATGGCTTGAAGACAGCCCAAGAGGGCTTCAAGACGGCCACGATGCCCTCAAGAGGACTCCGACGAGGCCCTCAGGAGGCGAAACAAGTATGTTCTTTTTTGGTTTTTTGTAGATGTTTCGTGTTCTCGCTGTTTCGTGCTTCCGACGGTCCAAGACAGCCCACGAGGCCCCAGAAATCAGCTCAAGACGGCCCAAGAGGCACAAGAGGGCGCCGCAACGTCGCAAGAGAGTCCCAAGACCGCCCAAGAGCGCCCCAGGACGGCTCAAGAGGCTCCCAAGATCGCCGCCCAGGAGGGCACCAAGACGGCCACAAGAGGAGTTTCAAGAGTGGGAACACGAACCGGCAATTCGAGCCTTCCGCCCCAAGAGGCCCCCAGGAGGCCCCAGGGGCCCTCAACATTGCCCACGAGGCCCCCCAGAAGCCCCCTAGAGGCTCCACGAGGCCCCAAAGAGGCCCCCAAAGAGGCCCCAAGAGCACCCCAAACGGCCCCTCCGAAACTGCCTTCATGAGGCTTCCAAGACTGCCTCCAAACATGGCATAGCATTGCATTGCATTGCATTGCATCTCCTGGCATGCCGTGTCTGTGCATACCATGTAACGCGGTAGCATCGCTCTTCACAGGAAGCATGGCATGATATGCTTAATCGTATCACCCCATATATTGTCATAGCACTTTACAGCACAGCATGGGACGGCATGCAATGCGCACTGTAGAGGATATCCTTCTATCACGTTGCATACATCATCGTGGCATTGCGCTTTATAGCGTAGCATGATGTTTCATGCCATTCCGTAGCATGGTGCAAGATGGCGCTTTAGCGTTGCATTTTTCTTGGTTCATAGCTTGGCGACAGATCACAGGTCGACGGGTCGATGAGAGCGGAGGAGGGGGAATGAGGAAGAGGCAGGAGGAACCAGATAATGTTGACCACATTATTCATGACCGCCTTGTTGCTCTCAATGCGCGTGAAACCACAGGGAAATTGCAACGAAACCGAAATGAAAATGACATACCAGCGCAGCAACACTATAACAACACGGTTGCGGTTCGGATTCGGTTTTCTTACACTACAGCAGAGCTTCACCGAATCCGCAACCAACAAAGACAGAACTGCAACACTCCAATTGCAGTTGCTTTGGCGTTTCACTAAATCCGGAACGACGCAGCAACGCAAAGTCAACGAGCTTGCTAGTCTTACATGCGCACACGTTCGCCTCACATGTAAGTTCTGTGCTGCAGCAATGTTAACCTTGTGTTTCGCTGTTGTTAATTCCCAAAGTTGTTAACAGTGAAAGCTGCCAACTTGTCTTGCGAGTTTCTGACTTCCCAGGTGTTCGTTAACTTCCAGCTGTTTTAACAACGGAGAACAAGTTAATTCGATCGATGTATAGGGTAGCTCATCCGTGGGCATCCTCTACATTGGGGGATGAAGGACGGAGGAAGAGAAGTGGAGCACAGGAGGGTGACTTACAGAACCAGGGACGAAGGCCTTCCCTAGGTCTACCTCAAGGCCCTTCCCCTAGGCCCGCCCGAGGCTTACCCGAAGGCCTACGCTGGGCACGCCCGTATGCCATTCCCTCAGGCATGCCCGCAGGCCTTCTCTTAGGCCCATCCCAGGCCTGCCCCTAGACCTTGGGCAGGCCCCACCCCAGGCCACCCTAAGGCCTTTGGCAGCCCGTACACTAGGCTATCCTAGTTCATTGGGATGTAGGCCTCGTGTAGCTTTCCCCCCTTGGGTTCTATAAAAGGGGGGTTGGAAGGAGGAGGGGGGGGGGCCGAGGAAGATGTCCACCTCCCCGCGAGGCGTTTCGAGGAGCACGACCGGCGGCACATGAGTATGCTGACGCAGCGGCAGTGTTTGGAGGCACATTCTGACCGCCTGAGCCTCTCGTTTTCGCTGGCTCGTTCTCTCTGGCTCCCCCTTCTCCTGTTCATTTCCTTCGAACCAGGGAAAATTGTATTAAAATAGCCTTTAGGAGCTCCGTGCGGATTTCTTTGGATCGGCGCTGGGTCCCCCTGGCGGCGCCTCCAGCGTTGCCCCTGGTTCTCCGCGCGCCAGAGGGTGTTTGTGTTTATGTGGTGCTTTGTTATTCCATCGCCTCTTGCGCTCCCTCCCCCCAGCCTCCTCCCTCATCTCTCGCCCCCCTCCCCCTTCCCGTTTCTGAGCCTCCTCCTGTTGCTCCTCCCCTCCTCCTCCACCCGCGCCCCATGTCGTACCCACGCTCCCCATTCCTCCTCCTCCTCCTGCTCCTGCTCCTCCCCCTCCGACTCCACAGCCGCGCAGAGCGAGTGAGCGAATGTTGTACCATGCGCTCTCCCTTGGATGTGTGTGTATGAGTGTGTGTGTGTGTGGGTGTGGGTGTGGGTGTGTGTGTGGCTGTGTGTGCGTGTGTGTGTGTGTGTGTGTGTTTGTGTGGATGTGTGTGTGTGTGTGTGCGTGTGTGCGTGTGTGCGTGTGTGTGTGTGTGGGTGTGTGTGTGTCTGTCTGTCTGTCTGTCTGTCTGTCTCAGTCTGTCTGTGTCTTCTGTCGGTCTGTCTGCCTGTCGCCTGCCTGTCGGTCTGCTGTCTGTCTCTCTGTCTGTTCTGTCTGTCTGTCTGTAGTGTGTGTGTGTGTGTGTGTGTGTGTGTGTGTGTGTGTGTGTGTGTGTGTGTGTGTGTGTGTGTGTGTGTGTGTGTGTGTGTGTGTGTGTGTGCGAGCGGGGCGCCGCAGTGTGCTACTTTTCTTGCGCGCCGAACTCCTAAAGATGATCCCACCGCTTACCCTATACCGCCGACCCCTTGGAGCCTTGAAGGTTTATCCGCCTGCGGACTGGAAACGCCCAGGCTTGTGTATACATATATAGACATATATATATATATATACATACAAATGTATATCCTCAGCGGGTGGACGCACGGGCAAGCAGAGCATTCGCGAAGAATATTGTGGCATGTATTTGAAATATTTCTACGCGTCCGCCGCAGTCATGGGGGCCATTTGGGTCGTCTTGGGCCTTGACGGGCAGTCTTCGGACAATGTTGGCCAATAGTGGAACCATCCAGCGGGAAGTTTTTGCGACCAGGAGAACTTCTGGGGCAGATGAGTCCGGCAATCTGCCAGTACCGACCGAAGCAGGTTCTTGCAGGGAGAACGCGGTTCAACGAGGGGCAGCCATCTCATACGCCGATTGACGCCCCGGGGGGGTGGGGGTGGGGAGGGAGGGGCGAATTTGTTCAGGTTGTTCACGGCGCGAGGGGGTCTGGGGACCTTTTTGTTCCAGCTTCATTCGAAGCGTTTCCGTCCGCTTCTCTCCTCCCCTTATCTCTGCGCGTACACAAGGGTGGTACACCAGTAGCTTCACCAAGTGGGTTAAGGCGCCTCAGTTCCATGTGACTTCAAGGCCATGACACAGCCCAGCAAGGACAATGTTGTCGGGCCTTCTTTGCAAGCCACGCACTAGAACCGATTCGATGACATAGCGCTGGCACCGCTTTGACAGCCCAAGCCAGCATCATTTGTCGGATTCCGCTCTCCCCCCCCTGCGTTTCACTGTCTGTTGACCCTCCTTTTTCATCCTTTCCTCCCGCACTTCTTTCTCGGGCGCAAGCTTCCTCCCAGGAAGTGCAGCTCAAGGTTGGTGGTACCATCCCACAGCGGGTCAACGCGATGACCAGGAATTCTGCGGTGACGGGATGCATCCTGGACTACCCAGGCGAGGGGTCCTTCCCTGCTGCGGTGCTTGTGACAGATTCGTCCGAGCCTGCGCCTTCCCAGCCATCGCCAACACCGACATCCGAGTATGGAGTCGGGCGGGAGAGCCCCTGGGCCCCGCCTGACCTCGACAGGGTTACGCGTCTCCTCGGTGGAGTGAGCGCCACAGTGCGGTCGTGTTTCTTGGGCATGCCGTCGGAGCGAGATCTCGCAGCGTGAGTCCTCCTCCTCCCTTTCCTCCTCTACCTGCCCCTGCTCTCCTCGCCCTCCGCCGCCCCACCCTCACCCTCCTCCTCCTCCTGCCCCGCCAGCGGCTCTAAGGCTCCCGAGAACCTGCTGGAGCCATCCGTAGGGAACATGCAGTCAACGCGCATAGTAAAGTAAGCACGCGCGCCTTCTCTAGGGTAGCCTTGCGTCCTTGCCACTGCGGCCCGCCCTTTGCCGTTTTCACTGGTCGCCCGTTGCCCAATCATCCCAACTTCGGCCTCCAAGGGTCCTGCGTCCTTACCACCCAATCCTTAAGATAAAGTTGCACTGTAAGCGTGCCTCGTCGAGCCCGTTCCAGTGACTCCGAGTGAGAGGCCCTGAGACCCTGACGGCTGCACCGTCTCCTGACGTAGCCGTTCCCCCCACCTGGCGGCGCCATCTTGCGCGCCAGGTGGGGCAATTTCGAGAGAGGGCCGAGCTCCGCGACGGCGGGCGGGAGGACTCCTACTCTTGGGCGCCTTGGTCCTCATACAGCCGGATCGAGGTATGAGATCGAGGTCGGTTCGGTTCGGTCGTCAGTGTCTTTCGTGTGTTGGGCGTTCTCGTGTGCGAGATGTAGGATTATCGCTGGTAATGCCTTTCAGCTGGCGCCGATGGTGATGGTGTATCACAATTGACCAAGGGCCTTGTGAGCCAAACGTCCGCGGGAGGTTTGGGTTAGGAAAGGCACTGGCACGCGCAGCGGGCCAGACAGAGGGCAGAGGCGGATGCTGGCGGAAGGAGCGCAGGAAGTGCTAGGAATCACACTTCCCTTGCTTGACTCCTGTAGGTGCTTGCGGCACCAGGAAGGCGTCAAGCACTTAGAGTGACGGTCGCTTCATGACGCATCGGGCCTTGGGTAATCAGCAAACTGCTGATTCGGCATGCAATCAGGAAGCCTCGGGCTATTATTGGGTGGGCCGCACGAGCCTGAAATATGACAAGAACTCTTACAATAAGCTAGCGGGCTCAATCTTGCGATAAACTTGGCAAAGCTTCACATCAATCAGTACGCAGGGATGGCGGGTGATCGTCATCACCTCTGAACGAATAGAGTGCAGGCAAAAAAGGGTGACTGCAGCCGTTGGCCAGCAGCTCTGTAGCTGCCCATGACCTATGCGGAGTTACGCGTAAAAATCTTTTGCCGGGTGTGGAGTCACTCACTTGCAGACTAATGTAAATTGTTGCGCATGGCAACTCCAGGCTGCTCACTTGCGCTTACGGCTCGGCTTGTTTGACTAACGCGGTTTCGCATCAACACCAGCGTTGGGCTGGCCATTTATGATCATCCAACGGTTCTCGGCAGCGCACCGCACAGTGTAGTACTGGTCCGAGAAATCGGGGCGTCCGTGCCTTTTGAGCCAGGCACAGTGCTTCTGACACGTACGTCAGGTTACGTAAACACTTGGCGGACTGTGGCAAACTCGTGGAAGGTGGCCGTTGATGGCGCACTCGTTGATATCTTCCGGTCGTACTGTCGGAGTAGAGCCATTCCAGGACACAACACTGTTCGATGTCGCGGATGTCGAGCTTGGCCCCGCTATTGGAGTCGATGGCGCAGCCGATGCTGGCGTTGCCGATGCGGCCTAGCCATCACCTGTGACACCGCGCGAAGCTGATGCAGTAGACGCAGCGGCCGCCGCGCTCTGCTCCTGTGGCGTCTGGCTGGGTGCTGGTCGCGTAGGCTTTGCTGCCGATGACGCCGTCGAGGATGCCTCCAGGTGATTAGCCCCGCCAAGATGCCGTCCATCCCATCCCGGATGATCTCTTGGTGCTCGGGTTTGTCCTTCTCTTCTCTCGTGACGTTCGGCGGGTAGCTGGGCCATGGGTATGTAGGATGTGGATGATCGTGGCACGCACGCCAATGTCGATGAACATGCCAACCATGAGAATCGTGAACAGCCCCTGGAAATGCCACCAATATGCTGCGCCATCAGGAGGCGACTTAGGCGTAGGTTGGCCCTTGACGCAATTGATGCACGTCATCAGTACTGACGCGAGCATGGCGGCATGTGGCTGCTGGGTCCCGCAGTTGTGTTTGCGGGCCCCAAAGAAGGATAGCAGCACCCCAGCATCCATCGCCTTGGTGAGGGCGTCCGCGACCATGGCCCAGGTCGGGATCCACGTGAGGTGAAGGGCACTGTTCGGGTGCAGTGTCTCCTTGATCATGGAGGCGACGATCCTGAACCGCTTGTCCGAGGATTGGCCCACGTCCGACTTGATGTGCGTGACGAGACCCTTGCTATCGCTGTTGATCTCGCCGGGAAGCTTCCCGCTGAGCAAGTCGATGTCCTTCAGCGGCTTCTGGGGTTTGTAGGCCTTGGCGAGCAGCTGGCGGAACCGCGCGTTGATCTCCGCCCCTTCGAGCGTAGCGTAGCCTTCGACGGCTAGTGTCGACCTCGCCGACCTCTTGACCGCATCCGAATGCCAGGCCACGGGCAAGCGGAGGTCGCAGCGGTCACCCGCGACGTCGCGTGGTCGGTGGGTAAGGCCCATCGCCATGCCCATTGGCTCTTGACGCCGCCCACGTTGGCAAAGGCAGCATCGCTGAAACAGACCGTCGCGCAGGTCTTCAGGTCCACCATGCTGCGCCTGATCACGATGGCGAAGCTGGCCGTCGAGTGCACGTAGGCGACAGTCTTGTTGAGCGTCTTGGCGTCGTCCACGGTGGCGACGCTGGCACGGCGAGCGGCAGAGCTCACCGGGTGAGACGATCCTCGGGTGACCGCTTCTTCGAGTCGGTCTTGACGTCGTCCACCTGCGTGGCCGCCGTCGTCTAAGTTAACCTGTACTCGTCCGCGGCCATGTCGATCGAGCGGCCGCAGTATTTGATGATGCCCTCGACCTTCTTGCGGTGGAGCTTCTTTTGCAGAATCGATCGTGGCCTTCCAAGAGCTCGAGCCACCATGCTGAGCAATCAGGAAGTC